CTCTCTCTCTCTCTCTCTCTCTCTCTCTCTCTCTCTCTTTGGATGTGTGTGTGTGTGTGTGTGTGTGTGTGTGTGTGTATGTGTGTTCTGTTGATAGACCCAGAACTTCAGGTAATCAAGACTGGCCTTGAGCATGTCTGACCAGCTGGGATTAGTCAAAATGAATCGGAGTCATATTGGTGGCTTTTGTCTCTGGTCAGGAGGATGAGGAAGAAGCCATAAGTTTGCCATCTTTACCATCCATCTGTGCCCCCTTTCCTATCTGTCTGGTTACCAGAGATCTGTCTAGCTCCCAGTCCCTCACTTCCTTAAGACTAGAAAATTGTTATTGTTTCTGAATCTCTTGTTCTCCTCAGGTGAAGGAATTTACTGTTGCTGTGTCCACAGGGGGTGTCTTGTTCTTGGAAAGACACAAAAACCTGGAAATACCCAGTTTAGAGATTTTTCTTGGTGATATTTTTACTATTTTCCTTCAAGAGTGCATAACTTAAAAATATTTATCTTTTTATTTATGGATACATGTCTGAGCCTGCAAGAACATGTGTATTAAGTGTGTGCAGGAGCCCTCAGAGGCCAAAAGAGGTCACTGGGTTCCCTGAAGCTGGAGTTATGAGCAGTTGCCAGCCACCATGTGAATGCTGGGAACTGGACCTGGATGTTCCCCTAGAGCAGCCAGTGCTCTTAACTGCTGAGCTGGCTCTCAAGTCCCACAGTATAGACCCACTAAGTACTAACTTAGTGGATGACTTGCAGAATCTAAACCGTTTTTAAATTTTCAGACAATTTTTTTAGCAATTATTTTAATTGTTGAGCTTTTACTTGGCTTGCTTACCCAGCAATCTGAGTTTTGATACCCCAGAAGTCATTTAAATAACCATGGAAGGAAAACTGATCCCACAAAGTTGTTCTGACTTCCACAAACGAATCAGACACAACCACCACCACCACAAATAATGATAAAAATTTGAGTGGAGGTGGCAAGATGAACTAAGGTTTTTAAACCCTGGAACTCAGTTGGTGAAAGGTTGGTTTCTGACTCCACACTCCAGCTGTGGCATTCAATGGCCCCCATACAGACACAAAAGCAAATACACGTTTTTTAAAGAAAAAGAAAATCATTGTTGAAGCAGGTGTAATGGAGGCAGAGGCAAAGGCAGGCTGATTTCTGTGAGTGCCAGGCCAGCCAGGACTACATAAAGACCCCACCTACAAAAACAATTGCCTGCTGGAGAAATGGCACCTTATCAGCAAGCCAGGACCCACGTGGATCACAATTGTCTGTACCTTCTGTTCCTGTGGATCGGGTTCCCTCTTCTGGCCTTCACTGGCACCAAGCAAGCAATTGGTACACAGTCATACATGGAGGCAAAACACACATACATAAAATAAGCAAAAAGTAACCATTTGAAAAGTTAATTTTTACTTATTGATTGGTAGAGACAGTGTCTTGTCCTGGGTGTGTCCTTGGCTGGATTTGATCTCAAGATCCTCAGGTCACAGTCCCTATAGTGAGGTTTACTGGCAGAAGCTACTACTCCCAGTTTAACTCTTTTTATTTTATTTTATTTATTTTTGTGATTCCTGATTCCAAGACGTGGTAGTTCAGCTGTACTCCCAGACTTATTTAGTCTCAGCATGACCTTAGCTCATGGACTCCCAGAAATTAGCACATGGACACTCATGGAGTGTCCTGTGAAGAGCTCCCCTGGGGATACGCACCTCCTATGTATCCCACTAAACCCTGATATTTCTGCACCTCTGTCCTTTTTACAGGTATCGAGGTATGATTGAGAGTCTCCTCTCCTTTCTGTCCAACGTATTGTATTTAAAGGTAGCAGGCCAACGCTTCCCTGTGTCTTTTAGTCTTTCCTCGGTAGCCCGCAGCTGTTACAATTTTGTGCTCACCCGGCCTTGGTGTCCCGACTCTCCTCCAGTTTCTCCTCCATTCTGTTTACACTCCATGCTTGGTGACTTTCCATTTTCTCTTTTCCAAAGGGTTTAATTTCTGTCTCCTAGCCATCTCAGCTCTTGGATGAGGGTGGGACCAACCATGTTCTAACAGTGTACCCTTAAATTTTTGGGTCTTCCTTGGACTTTACTCATAATTTTCTTCTACCCCCCTACAAAGGGGTCTGACCCCACCCTACAAAGACTGTGCAAATCTCAGCCTCCCCCTATCTTCAGATTTATCCCACACCTTCTAAGCCCCCCACCCCAATGGTTTACTTGCAAGGTACACTTGGTACACCTGCTTTTCATTTTGATTTCATAAAAACTGAAAGAAAAAAAAATTCCACGTGGTGCACAAAGAAGGATGAGGGAAGAAAATATAATAATTATCAGTGAAGCAAATAATAATAATAAAAGCCGAATTCCTATCTAGTTCCTGGTGTAGAGCCTAGCACAGAATTGAAATTCGGAGAATTTGGAGCTTCTTGAATGAAGGAATGAGTTAAATGGCGAACTGGGGATTGCTTGTTCTGTCGCCGAGGGGAAGATGTTTTAAGAGGCCTGGGGAGGAAATCTGGAGTCCAGGAGAAAATCCAGATGTGGGAGCGTCAGTTTCCACCCAGACTTGTGGTCGGTTTATTGGTTTATTTCCGTGAGCTGGATTTCTGTTCTGGATTTCACCGACTGAAGCAATCACCAGAGGAGGGCTCTGTTGGTGTAGGTGTTGGTGGTGGGAGTGGGGATGGGAAGGAGCGTGGAGGAGGGGCAAGGGAGTGGTGGTGGTGTCCGGGCGGACACATTTCTCCAGATTTAGGATAGTAGCGATCCCCGTCAGAATCCACCGCTATGCCAATCCCAACAAGCCCAGAGACTGCAGACTGAATTTCCGTACTGTTTATGGGAATGGAGTGTGTATGTGGATATGCTGTATATGGCAATAGATTAAAATATAATCAGGTTAACCTTCTTTCGTGCGGTGGAGCGACCAAAGAACCAGCAAAACTGTCCTTTTCTAAGAAAGAGAAAGGCAAGCATTCCGTGTGGCCCTATAGCTCAGGGGTTAGAGCACTGGTCTTGTAAACCAGGGGTCGCGAGTTCAAATCTCGCTGGGGCCTAGCACAACTCGTATTTTGAAGGAAGACAGTGTGTTGCTGCTGGCATCTTAATCCTGCGTCATTTGTTTTTGATTCTCTGCACCCTGGGAAGGTGGGGCCTCCGCCTACACTCTGCAACAACAGGCGCCGGAGTGCTAAGCGGGGGCGCAGGGAAGAGCCGCCCCTGCGCGGACTGTGCAGGGAGGGAAGGAGGGAGGGAGGCAGGGAGGGCCGGCCCCCGGGCGGGCTGTGCGGGGAGGGAAGGAGGGAGAGAGGACGGCTCCCGGGCGGGCTGTGCGGGGAGGCCAGGGG